TCATCAATAAAATACAATTAATTTAACTTAACTTTTAAAATAATTATGTAAAAACATATATTTTTTATATTTAATCTGCACATACAACTGTTTTTACATTATTAATTTAAAAGTAAAATATACTAAATTAAAAGTATTTTATTGTCGAAATGTTACATCACTTTGATATATCACATCATTCTTTTCCCAAATGATTTTGTTCTAAAAATTACAATTTCTACTGCACAACATTAAATTATGTGCATTGTGAGTCTTGAAGAGATGACACTGGTAACAATAAAAAAATGCAAATAAAACGTACAATTGTTGTAATAACGAACATATTGTACTTTTCATTAATGTACTCTTGGAGGGTAAATTTATTTATTTTGTCGAAATTTGAGAGTGAAAGTAATTTATTTGGGAGAATGAAGAGCTCAATCCCCCACGAGATATATCGAGTACTATGCGGTGAGTGTGTGACGTCTGGGAAAATGAAAGTTATTTATTAGCGAGAATGGAGTGAGTTCATCCCCGCTGCGTGGAATATCGAGTACTCTGGAGTTAATGTGTGGCGTCTCGAGAATGAAAGTAATTTATTAGCGAGATTGGAATGAGTTCAACCCCGCCACGAGGACTGTCGAGCACTCTGAGGTGAGTGTGTGACGTCTGGAGAGTGAAAGTAATTGATTAGCGCGAATGATGTATTGCATTTGTACAAATTGTGAGATTTTCTATTCCCATTTTCGTGCTTTTTCTGTCATACGCGGTTCTCCATTTCGTTAGTTGGTCGGGGTCTGACAGACCAAAACAGCCAGGATGGGAAGAAAATAATCTATAAGGAAGAAATTAAAATTTATTAAGTAACCTTCATTACAACAAAAATTCTTTTTCTCAAACAAATTAAAAAATTCGCAATGATATAATATTTTAAACATTTGGAAACGGCAAAAAGAAAATTAAAGAAAGACTGGTTTTACGTAAACATTCTACTGCAACGAGATTGGTTCAAATTGGTTCAAATTAGTCTTGATTTCATTGCTTACTTGGCAACTTTTAATTTCTTGCTTAGCCCGTGGAATTTTAACAATTTTCACTTTATATATTATTTTACATTTTTTTTGTAAATGCAATAATATTCCGGCTTACGATGCTGGACATAATTAGATACGCTTTAGTAATATGTAAATTGCAGATTTCATTGTTTTAAATAAACATATAGTAAGTTTCTTACTATCGACATTTGTTAGATTTACATAAATAAAAATATTCATCTATTTATTAATCATTAACAATATCTAATTAAAATTTGTAAAAATTTATCATTATATACATATATACATATATGTTCATATAGACATGAACTTTATGTACACATATTTATCTCTCTTGTAGTCCGTGTGGGTGTCAATCTTTCACAATTTTCCCCATTTATTTTCTCACTCTTTATCTCGATCTCAGTATATTATCTAAATATCCTGCATATATTTAACCCTTTCTTGGTCATGTAGCCTGAGGGCAGTTTTGCTAAGCTTAGCTAATGTATGTGTTTTAGGGTGGGCTCGGTGTTTTTCCTTCGATGTTTCATCCTGTGTATTGGCAACACTGATTTTTTTTTGCAAATCTAAAATCTCCATCATGGAATCTTCCATTTCCAACGTGGAGCTTCTTCACTCATTCTTCACCCCACCACTACATCTCGTGTCGATTGTTGTATTTTCCAAATATAACATTTTTCATATCCAGTTTATAATTCAACCCTTTCTTAAACAAAGTTGCTTAAGAACAATGCAACTTGTTTAAGGTTACCAGGATAACCCGTGAGTTAAGGGCGGACAATGTTGTTCCCGCTCCGTTTCTGACGGTTTATTGGCAACACTGATTTATTTGGCGTAAGTCTAAAATCTTCAATCTAAAACATGGCCCTTCACCCCCACAACTATTTCTTGTATCGATTGTTATATTTTCCAAATATAAAATTTTTCATATCCAATTTATAATTTAACTTGTAGGTAGTTTTTTCTGTCTTATTATTTGTATGATTCTCTCTCTCTCTCTCTCTCTCTCTCTCTCTCTCACTCACTCTCTCTCTCACTCTCTCTCTCTCTTTCTCTCTCTCTGTATTAAATTCTATCGACATCAATTACAACTATCTAATTATTTTGTTTTAATTTCCTTTTCTTTCACTCCTTGTATTTTCAATCGCTCACATTCATTTACTATTTTTTTCTCCACTTAGCTTAATTCGTCACTGAAAATAGAAAAATGCAGAATCCCAAAGCGATGATACCTTTTTACATTTCAATGCACGATTTTTGTTTACTTTATTTTAGATTTTGGTGTATTCCATTATTTCATTTTCATTTACAGAGTTGTTTCCTTAATACTTTGGTAAGTTTCGTAAAATCGATTTTAGTATATAATATAAAACAAATTTTATATTTAGGGAATTTTTGATAAGTGTTAATAATTGCTTGAACAAGCTTTCTTGTTAATCCATTTTCATAGCGAAATCGCTCATTCTTTAATGCGATATTAATTATAATATGATAATTACCCAAGTAAAAGGGAACTAGAGCTACTGAATATTTACGGTATATTTCATATCCTTTGAACGAGAGAATAGGGGATGGCGACGTCTTCGTTTGAACAAGTAATAGGCTCGTATTCAGCCCTTTATTCACCCATTGCGACACATGCTCGCATTTAATGATGTGACCCTGAAGCATTGTTCAATCTCATCATTACGTCTCTGCTTCTCTATCTTTTCTGAGGGTTGCACGGATTTTCCTTTAAATACCGAATCGACCGTCATTTCCTCCTCTGTATCATTTAGAGGTACCTTTCATAAATACAGACACATTTCGAGAAAAGAGGATTTTGTGTAATTCTTCGCCAATATTGAAATACATCATCATACATGCATCATCTAACCAAACGCAAATATATTCTGAATATCAGAATATGCCATAATACTTTGGGATTATAAAAATTTCAAAAAGAAAGTATTGCCTTTTTTTCCCATATTTATAATTACGTATGATTAATTTGTTATGGTTTATCCTTATTATTGTCATGTTTATTAGTAATTTGATGTTAAAGGATGGTTAAGGGAAATATTAGAGAGACAACGAAGATAGAAATATCGAAAAAGGTGGGAGAGAGAAAAAGATGGGATAGAAAGGTGGATTCTCTCTCTCTCTATATATATATATCTATCTATATATATATGAGAGAGAATGAATTAAGTAATATCGTTTTATTTATTTTAATAAATCTCTACAAAAAAAGCTAGACATAGAGAGGGGAACAGAAAAGAATAAAAAGAGAGTGTTAGATAGATAGATAGAGGGAGAGATAGAGAGAGAAAACGAAAGGAAAGAATGAGAGAGAGAGAAAAAGAAGAAGAAGAGAGAGAGAGAGTGGAAGAGAGGGAATGAGAAAGAGGGAGTGGAGAGAAAAGTAGAAGGTACTTATATATAGATATGTATACAGGGAGAATTGCTACTCGTGCTACAAACTTCTCCAGTAGATTCTTCACCCTAAAATGAACAAAAAAGTTCATATTGTCCATGGTCCGATTCTCAACCATTTCAGAGTAATTTCGCTTTTTATCGATTTTGAAAGATATCACGTCCTGGCGTCGGAAAATCGTGATATCTTTTAATCTAAACATTTCTCTGAAAATCTAATAGCACCGTTGAAATTCCCGTTAATTTTTCAATAAG